CATTATATATTTATTTTTGGAACATATTATATCCGCATGATATCATAACTTCAAAAAACTATAATTCCAAAACTTAGTTTGTTCACTCACATACTAATTTCACCATCGTTCTTAAAATCAGCAATTTTTCAAAGAAAAAAATTTAAAAATTAGATTTGTTTCACATCATTCTTTACTTAAACGATTTTCGTTAAAATTTAATTTTCCAATGATTTTTCTCAAGAAAGGTGAAAAACTGAAAAAAATGGAGGAAAATGTATAAAATTTAAGTATTAGTTGAAAAATATTTCGTAATTTGTTTTCTTTGTGAATAACTTTTTACAAGTAATTTTGCTCCGATTTACAATAATAGCACTTTTTTCTGAAAGGAAATCTGATAAAGAAGGTACTTAAGGAGGTCATTTTTCGATTTTCTAAGAGTTTTTTACAAAACTGGAAAACGTAGGAAAAACGATAAAATTGGTACATTAATCAAATATTATTAAAGAAAATATTTAATTAATTTACCATATTGATATTATATTATAGTATTATGACATATATATTATTACCAAAGCATCACTATCAACTGAATTCCGCTTAGAATCATTTTTCGTTAGTAATGGTTTATCGTTGTTTTCAGATGTATATTTAATAACAGTGGCTGCACCCGAATCCATTAACAAAGGACAGATTATTTTGAATTAATACTGGAAATTGCTTTCTTATTGTAATTCAACTTACTCCAAAAAAAAATTTTAGAAATTGCTCATCGCATATTTAGTTTTTCCATTTCAATAACATAGTAAGGTAACGTTCTGTATTTAACCACATTTACTCAGGAAGTTAAAGAGTTAAAAGGTTGTTCTTAAGGATCACAAAAAAATTTATTAGACTGGTTCTTTTACGTTTCCGGTTATTTGAAAAAAAAAAAAATATAGGTCCTCTTTCGGTTGTAGTTCTTTTAAATAAAACCTAATCCGATCCAGGAGGTTTGTACACATTTTTTTTTTAATTTCTTGTATAATAAAATATACTATTTTCGTTGATAAATTAGATAGGACGCCTAGTAATTCATATTTAATTGCATGTAAAGAACTAGAATCCACCAACTATGAAACTATTTGTCATTTAATTAATTTCTCGTTAAAAAATATACCCTGGTATTAAACGAAAAGTATTACTTTTTATAAGTGATTCTGGTACTTATATGATCAAAGCAGCAAAAACATTAAATATATTTTTCCCGAAATTAATTCATAGTACATGTGTGGCGCACGCAGTTAATAGAGGTCTAGAGAAAATTTGAAAATTGTATCCCGACATTAATAAATTGATTAACAATGATAATATATTAAGTAGCTATTTAAAATTTAAATACATATTCACACATGCATTTAGTTATCTTATTTCGTTAATTTCAAGAAAAAAAGCTTTCCTAAAATCACCATCGAGAATAAATAAATACAGAAAAGAAATGCCGGCTATACCTTTACCATCGGAACCTATTATTACAAGATAGGGAACATGGTTAAATGCTGCACTTATCTATGCAAATAATTTTAAAGAGTTTATAAACGTGATTCAAAGTTTAACAGATGATGCTAGTCATGCCAGGTAAAGCCAATGATAATTTAGATGTGACGCCTACTTTTTAAAACTTTTTTAAATATGCACCAATAACTAGTGCGGACATAGAACGTAGATTTTCTTTGAACAAACATATTTTAAGTAATAGAAGATTTAATTTTAATCAAAATAATTTAGAAATGTATCTAATTATCAATTTGAATTTAAAAAAGTAATATTTATTACATTTTTTACATAAAATTTGCATTTTTATAGTGCGATTTATTATGCAATTTGCGTGTGTTTTAAATGCAATTAAATCCGGTCTTAACTCATAAGCATTAATTTGGTACATATATAATTTATACACCTACAGATTTATTCAAATTTATAATTTCATCGTGTTCGGCGGATTTTTCTAGCGCTGTTTATGTTAATTTTTTTTTTTCAATCAGTTTGTCTTTTGGGGGGACATCGGTTTAAAGAAAAAGTATATTTTTATTTTTATTCCCTCAACATAGCCATTATGTAAGAAAAAATATTATTATAACAATTTCAATGTGTCATTGTCATATATACAGAGTGGTGCCGATAGAGAAATTGAAACTGAAATAACGACATTTTTGCTGTTGTCTTTGTCACATTTGCGTATAATTTTTTAAATTTAGGTTCCGGTAGTTATACTTTTTTTTAAATAGATTCTGGTTAGTTTCTGGTTCCAAATATTTTAAAGGTTCCGGTTCCAGTCCCCGTTACAGATATTACATTCCATTTTCTATCATACCTTCCCAACTATTCCACTACAACAGTGGCATCTCTATGAATAATTTTATTTAAGATTTATCATCAGAGCTCTACCTAGAGGGGAGCTAAGGGGGCTGCAGACTCGTGCCCCTTCAAAACCACGGTCTCTATTTATTAATTTGGTTGTAAAATAATCTGTATTTAAATTTGTTGAAGCACAAAATGTTTACTTAAAATACCACCTATGACAGAATTCTAAATGGTTATTTGATCAGTAATCGATAATATTATTATCCATTCAGATAAAGTTGGGAAATCGAATAAAACCTAACGAATTATCAAAAAAAAATTTTTTCTTATACTGATGATAAGGAAAATTGAGCAAAAAAAAAATTATTTGGTTGAGCCACTGTTATACGTGAGAATTCGAAATTTAATGTACGCAACGCTATTAACGATTGACTTACGAAAAACAATTTTGAGCAGTGAGCGGAGTAAGTCACAGGTATAAGGACTACAAATAATTATATTTTTATTAAATTTTGTTTTGTAAAAAAATTTAAAAAAACCTTATTTTATTATTTTCAGAAAATTGTATAATTTAAGATCACATATTTATATCCGATGAATAATTTCTAAGTAACAGTCGTTTTAAATTAAATTGTATTAATCCGTGTGAAAAACGATGTTATCTAGGGAATAATCCATCCCCATTAAAGCTTGTGTGTCACACTATGGTAAAATAATTACTTATCATTTTATATTTTCTTTAATAATATTTGTTTAAAATTGTTTCTGATTTCTCGTTTGTCCCATGTTTAAATGGATATTTATTGAAAAAACTCCTGGAAAAATAAAACAAAAATTACCACCTTAAGTAGATTTCATTTCAGAAAAAGTACTATGTTTTATAAGGTGTACTGATAAAATAATTCGTTGTAAAACCAATACAATCCTCGCTCTGCTCAGAATCTAAAAATTAGAGATTTGAAACTCGTTATATTGTTTTTGATTGTTTAGTGACGGAACTGGACAAGAGAAAAAACTGAATTCAATTTAAGGGCACCATCGAAAAATTAACCCTGGACCCCAAAATTTTTAAGTAGAGCCCCGTTTATCACGCGACAATATTGATCGAATTATCGTTGTACTCTGGAAAACTATTACTTTTATAATAATAAATTATACATTTATTTGATTGCCAAATGATAAACGGAATTCCGTCAAATATTGTCCGTGTAGTAAATGAATCCTCAATGTTGTTCCGAGCGTTATTTATCTATACAAAAAACAATCGTGTAATCGTGTTGTATAATATGTACGTTACAGTAAATGATGTTACAATCCAAAATAACGTTATTTTCTAGAATAAATTACGTAGGTTACGTGTAACAAACCAGTTTATATGGTTATTTGTTAATTGTTTGGTATGATTATCGATCATTTCTACACGGCGGAGAATATGTTGTTATTTAAACGGCGATAGTATTGCAGCTGCAGCGCTAACAATACGAACAGATAAATGAAATTGTGTTGGATCTCAAAACTCTTCTTGGATCATCGGGAGAAAAAGAGATATTATTTCGAGAAGATGCAGGCTGCAATAGTCTTATGGGCATACAAGACTATCAAAGTTGTCACTGTAAGACGAAGTACAAAACGAAATGTACCTGTTCTTTATAGTTGGGAAACTATGCAGTTCTGAGTCCCACACTTCTTAATCGTGTGAAAATAAATAATTATCATACAAAAATTTAAACATTATCTTTTTATTTTTATTATTAATTAACTAATATACAACAATAAGCCTAAATTTTTTTTTAAACTACAATTAACAATATTAAATTAATTTAAAATTAATTTTTAATATAAATTATTTCATTTCCGTCTATCTAGTATATTAAACGTTATATTAAAAATGTTTTACGTTTAGTAATAATATGAATAACTGAATACAAAACTGCTCAGGATTCAAAAATAAAATAATATTATAGTTAAAAAACAAAAAATAAAAAAAATAAATAATTATCCTACAAAAATTTAAACAATATCTTTTTATTTTTATTATTAATTAACTAATATTCAACAATTAGCATAAATTTTTTTTTGAATTACAATTAACAATATTAAATTAATTTAAAATTAACTTTTAATATAAATGATCTCATTTCCGATTTCCGTCTATCTAGTATATTTAACGTTATATTAAAAATGTTTTACGTTTAGTAATAATATGAATAACTGAATACAAATCTGCTCAGGATTCAAAAATAAAATATTATTATAATTAAAAAACAAAAAAAAAAAAAGATTGTAAATTCATAATTAGTAAACATTTGACTTAAACATTCAACCTTTTTCATCATTTTTTTTTTATTCATATTTTAATTTCCATCAAATAGACGTTCGTTCTTACAGAAATGAAAGAAAAATTAATAATATCTTAAAAAAGCTCTAAAATTTAAAATGAGTTTTGCTCGAACATTGATGTTATCTTAAAAATTATTCATTTATTCCTTCGATTAGGTATGTTTAATAACTACTTAGATAAATTTAAAATAGGAATGTCGTCTTGATAAAATTAATAGTAATAATATTTAATCTGCCTGAGAATGCGGTCAGATTTAATAAATTGTTATGTGCTAAAAGAGTGGTGCAACTGCTGCACTAATAGTATAGTGATTATTATTATTATTATTATATTATTTTTATTGTTTTTTGTCATCTTTTCGATCTAATGATTTAGCAGCCTCTTCGGTGAGTTGTCTTTGATACGTTATAGGGGACATTATAGCTTTTAAGAATTCCTGATTTTGTTTTTGCATCTCATTAAGAGTCAGCCACCATTCGGATTGCAGTTTAGGGTTGGTTATACTGCATACAATCCACATTGGCGGCTTCTTTAAGCCCCCCATCGATTCGATGATAAGCAATTCGTTAGGCGAACGGTCCGGACATTGTTTCTTTTTCACATACATTTTGTTGATCTGCCAAAAAACAGAAACATGATATTAATATTGACCATTAACTATAATCGCCAATAGACTGCCAATTAGCGTACTCTCTATTATATAATGTCACCGAAAGTATGTATACCTGAACGTGCATTTTGAAAATATACAGCGGGTTAGTATACTGATTCTTCGACTGTACCTCTTTGCTGAATATTATGCACTTTTCGAACAAGAAAACGTGCATGTTTTCGTAAGTCTCGCATTCGAATTCGGTACTTTTGAATTCATCTTCCGATTTACGGGCACAGTCAAAGTTGTCGTGCAACAACAAATCGCCCTGGGCAATTATGTTTCCCTAGAAACGATACGGGACATAACAGTTGAGAAAGACGGTCGGTGGGCGCAATACTAATATAGTAATTGGTAATGGTGTGATTGTGTGCTTACGTCAAATCCTTCTAGCTTACTGACAATAATCATGTCGTCAGCTACTCTGGGCACATATTTCATAATTTCTATGGCCACTTGAAACATTTCGATTTCGTTGGTTAGTCCGGCCCGTTTCGTGTACTTGAGCATTTCCTCCAGCAGCAGTTTATACTTCATAATCCTCTGGATGGGTTTGATTAGGATGTCGGACAGCTGTAGCTTGTAGCCCAGTTCTATCCTTATTTTCTGAAATAACGAAAACGTCAATATATAGCCGGTAAGTCCGTATCGCGCATGGCGCAATGCGCTTAGACTTTTCAAAAACAACTACTATCACTTATCTGGCCCCGACTAAACTTAAAAGTTTCCCGTTAACGGCTTGATGAAAATCAAAAGTTTGAATAACAACAAAAATTATTTTTTTTAACTAATTTATCGAAGGAATTATCAATATAGGTAGCCGTTTTACCCCTAAAAATAATAGTGTAAAAAAAAATGTAATGTAGTTAATATTATAAAACTATTTGTTTCGTAAGTTTTCAATAAAAAAAATCGGAATAAAGTTAATATTTTCCGAAATATTGCAATGGTACATAATAATACACTATAATACATAATACGAAAAACTTTAACATCGAGACGCTATGCAACAAGGTAACGTCAAAATTGTACTGTAGGAAAACGAGAATATTATTTTTACATACATTTTAAATGCCATGAAAATATTATGAAAATTCTATTGGTTCCGTATAGTCATTTAGTGTACACATTAAAACAAAATGTCTATCATTTAAAAGAAACCATGAAAATATATTTAACAGAAAAAGTCGTGACTTTAATCGTGATTAACATATACTATCGTAATGCTATTATTTTATTTATTTATGAACATTTTTTACCTCGAAATAACTGGAGGAATTAATCATGATTAAATCAGAGCATGATTTGTTCCAACAGTAAATGACGTACATGTGAAGTTTTCTTTTGTATTTTTGGAACAGCTTTCCAAATAAGTGCGGTTGAGTGGCGCATTCTTCGACGGCAGACAAGAATACACTGTAAACAAATCAAATAAAATCGTTAAAAATCTTTAAAAAAAAAAAAAACAAGTCGGCGCGTTTTACTGCTGTCGGTTAATTGAAAAAAAAAAAAAGAAAAAGAGGTACTTCCTTATATATAATATCAAGGTTGCCACAATTTTCAAGTTGACGGATTCTCTGGCTTTCCCATGTTTTCCAGACTACTCTTTTTTACCCATTAAAATTAAATTTCAATAAAAGTTAAAATTTTTTAAAAAAAATACTGTCACCCCATAAGATAAAATACAATATAATTACTATGTTTATCATTTATATTATCTTTAAGCATACCATACCACTTATTGTTAAGTACATATTGTTTCTATTAGAAATTATTAAAAAATTATAACAATAACACTAACAAAACACAAATAAAATTGATAACTGATAAAAGTAAATGTTACACATAACGATAGGCAGACTTAAAATTTTTTCACGAGTGTATTGAAGTATAATATTTAAAAAGCTTCCACTAACCGATTTAGTCAACGGTATTAATCTATAACTGTAGTAGACTGCATACATTTTATTTTTTTTTTTTTGTTTATGAAGTGCCCAATTTGATTTTTCGTGTGCCATGATTCTTGAAACCATAATAATGGCATTAATATTTAAAAAAAACAAATAATTTTTTTTTAAAATTCCAGAAAAAATCAAAAGAAAATCTCTGACTCTGACCGATTTTAAATCCCATGATTTGTCAGGTTTTTCTACAGGAATGCATTCCTGTAGGTGTGATGGAAAATATGAATGCATTTAATTCGTTTGTATTAAAATCTTAAATTCAAGCGCAAGCCACGTTAAAGAGGTTAAATTTCAAGACTAAAAGAAATTTTTTTTAAAGTATCGATTTTGCAAGTTTGCTAGTTCAGCGTAAAATTGTAGATATTTGTACAGCGCAATAATAATTATTATCATTAAACGAAAACGAGAATCAGCCAACTTTAAGGAAAACCTAACCTAACCTGGTACATGGTATTATTATTGTTCTTACTCCCTGTGCCATTCGTAGATCGTTTCGATGTTGCCGAAGATGTTTTTGTGTAGGGCGGGCTTCAATATCTTGGGCGTGGGTATTTTGAAACCGAACCCCATGGGATCTTTCAAAACGGCCATGTAGCCGTGGACCACTTTTGACAAATACATGACGTAGTTCCTTTCAGTCTCCACAAATTCCTGTACCACGTACTCCCGTTTTCTCAGCGCTTCTGCGCGTTGGCTTTCAAGGTCCACCATGGTCGACGTAGACGGGCCCTGTTCCTATATAAATAAACAAAACAATACTTTCGACACGGTCAAAGACGGAATTAGGACGGAACCTGCGTAAAGCGTGCACGAATTCTACTGTTACGATTATCACTACCAAACCGACTACTTTTCGGTCAAACACATAAAACGCACGGACACATAAGATCTATCTATCTACAATATCTATCTATAATTTTATCAACAATCTACATTAGGTATATATCACTCTCGAAATTCACCATTTCCTCTTTGACGGTCTCTTCGATTTTGGGCAAGTCGGCTGAAGATGACGCTGTCACTTCTGGAGCCGAAAGTTCCGACGTCTGAACGACCGAACAACAATAACAACAACAACACGGTTTTATTTGATTATTATATAAATATAACACATTATGTAGGGCGAATAAACAGGGACGAGCAGACAACACTTTTATATCCGTGTCTGATATAAAACCGATACCCAATACGTGTTGATGTCAGAACTAACCGTTATACCGCGGTTGAAAAGCCGATTTTTTAATCGCTTTTTACATATTCCATAGACGTTATAATAGATATAGTTTTTTCGTGAAATATCTGTTAAAAAGTCGAGTATTGAGTATCGGATTATGTATCGGACCGCCCCTATATAATAATAATATTATTCACCGACAATAAATAACAACAATATAATACGAGTATATACTGTACAAAAAACAAAGCGGAAGGAAACCGATAAGGACCCAACAGTCCTTGAGGATATAGTAGAGATATGTTAAGGTGGATGCATTGTGTAATCACGGGATAGGAGGAAAGACGATAGGATAATAATATAGGCGGAAGTGTTTACGGAGACCGTAGGGGAAGTAGACCAAAGAAAAAGGGGGCTAAAGGTTATTATAGGGGAGATACGAGGTTGATGGAGTGCGAAAATGCTACTGCTGGGATATACTGCCGGGACGGGATGATAAAATCGAATAAAAATAACGTGATTATACTGAAGTCGTTATGGGTTTCATTTATAATATTATTAATATTGGTTAATGGCTTGTAAGGGCGAAACGTTAAAACTGCAGTGCGTGTTTTTACCCTTTGTAAATCTAAAAGCAAATCTAGAAAGCGAATTCTATCAAATAATCACAATCGATATCAATCAAACGACCTTTTTGAATCCTAGACGTGTACCAATAATATTTTTTTTCATCTAGATGAAAAGTTCTTGAATATATTTTATTTTTATCGTAGTGGACTCTTGTTGATGTTATTTGTTTATTTTACAATTTATAAGTTATGCGAATGCATCATCTTTAACAAGATATATTGTAACGCATCTGGCTATAAAATAAGTAACAATTTGTTTCGCAAATTATTATAACAACGCTATTCAAGTTTTATACATTAAAAATATTGCTACCACAAAGTCGAGTTTCCGGTGTACTCTTGCTTTTAAAGTAATAAATTGTGTTATGAACTCCGTATACGCGAGACGGTAGGACAGGTTATATCAAAGTACAAAGTCAAAACCACGTCTGACGAACTATGTGTGAAAGTTTCTTAGTATTGTGTTCAGAAACATCACCGCCGTACAAAAGAAAGTCTAAGTACATAACGATATTATACTTTTGAAGTTTATAACGGAACGGTCTATAATAATATAATACCAAGAAGACGAGTTTCTTGAAAACTGTATTATTGAGGTTAGCTTGAGGCACTTACAATATATTAAATTTTTATAGTTTTCTATACGAAATGAAAATATAACCGAGCGAGCACATGAACGCAGAATGTAATAATATTATATTATTAGGTACGTGAGTGGACTTTATATGGACGTTGATATAAGGTTTTATCGACGGTATACAAACGCAACACGGTATAAAATTATTATAGGTTTTCAATTTTGGCAAAAGCGATACGATAAAATGGAATAATATTTTCGTTTGTCGGATAAAACGTTTTTCGCCATTAAAACGTAGCGGGTTTCCGTCGGGTTTTATCGTTACATTTACATTATACTATTTACAAGCCGCAGAGTTGTTAAAATAAGGTATTTTTATTTTGTTTCATGTTAAATGCAGCCCTAGATACGCGTGTAATATGATATTACAAAAAAAACAATACCGTATTTTAACAACTCTACGGCAAATATGAGCAAATTTTACAGGCTATAACCATATATAGTTGACCCACGCAAGAAAAACTAATAAGCAAAAAAAAAAATTCAATCGGGGCCCATGTATCCAAATACGGCCCCAGTGCATATTGTACGGTATAAAACTGTGTAGAGTAGGATAACAATTTAAGCAAATTTTACAGGCTGTAACCATATATAGTGACCCGCGCAAGAAGAACTAATAAGCAAAAAAAAAGTCAATCGGGACCCATGTATTAAAATGCGGCCCCGATGCATATTTCACAGTATACGACCGTGCAACGTGGTTTAATGTGGTGCAGGATAACAATCCTGCAATGGTATGGCTGGTCTGTTAGGAAATTGTCCAAATTTCCCGGATCATGTTATTATAATCCTGATATTATAACCTGGTCAGGTGCTGGCCAGTTTATTTGTGTAAAATATTTTGATTAGGTACTCAAAAGTTAGTAAAAAGTTATGTCAAGACACATATTATACACTTATTTCAGTGGTTTATATATGCATTTATAATATTATAATAAACTGTACACTTTTATATATTTTTCGACGGGAGGGAGGTCAAAACTTCCTCCATCTCTCCTATCTTGACCCGTGACTCAAGTAAAACCGTATTTAATTCCACTCAAGTTTAAATCCTGGATTCACCGCTAGTACAAATTAAAAATCTAGAATAATTGTATTTGGTAGGTACGTATTTTATTGGGTGAATTGATGATACAATTTAATCTTCAGGCCTGAATTTGATTCCCACTCCACCCCTTACAGTGTTATAAACAATATAATACGTTATAAAACAAAGGATATTAATAATTTCGAAAATATTTTTATTACGATAATTATACACGAATTTATTGTTTTAGGTTAAGGATAAGGTTTAAGACATAATTCTGATACACCAACATCAGCGGCCATAGAAATTGTTTTAATTTGAAATAATGCGATAGTTACAATTCACAGTAAATTATATTCTCGAATGTCAAATTGATTTTCTTGTGTTATGATTTAAATTTTGATATAAATGAAATATTTGTGCAACCTCTCATTATAATTATTATAACCACCAATTGGTTAATAAATATATTTATTATCTTTTTGGTCTCACTTTTTTTTGATTTATCTACTGATGTTTTTAATATTAGAATTTGTTAAAAAAAAAAAAAAGGCATGATTTATAATATACATTGGTTACATACTTAAATAAAAAATAAAAAAAATGATATCATTTACTGGATTTGAAATAATCTACAATCCACTCTGCAAACCAACCTTTTTGAGACTATTACCCATAAATAAGGTATTAACAACTATCCCTCTCCCCAAAAAAAATATTTTACAATCGTAGTACACATGACTGATGCAGAGTTAATAATAATAGCTCTAAAGTACATAAAATAAAACAAAATTAGTTAGGTTAGGTATTTTTCACCCCCCCCCTCAACAAATCGTAATTACCTTCAGGTTGGGATTCGCTGTACTATAAAAATCGGCCATATTATCTTTGTAAGTTTTGTACGTGGAATTTCAAACGCCATATAGTTTTTTTAAATTAATAATTTATTTCGTTAAAGTTTTATAAAAATTATGTTTGTATATCTCGAACCGGGTACGGCTACCACTCGCAAGTCGCAAGTCACAACCGATCGACGTGATTTTATTTTTTTCAATCCTTGAAAATAATCACTAATTTTGCATCGGTTTAAATAAAATTAAAATAATAATGTACACCAGTACGAATGAGATAGAGTTCATACATAAATAAAATGTTTTTCATTAATACGATGAGTCGATGTAACATTATAAATAACAACAATGACTTAGCAGACATTTGTTAGAGGAGTATGATATTGTTTTTTTAGAAAAAATTAAATGGTATTTTTTCGAAAATATTCAAATTCACTAAGAAATAAATTTACAAGTATACATTCCGGTGTATCTGGTTTATGGCAATTTTCGTGAGTATTTTATTATAGGTGTTTAATATCGGATTCGTATTACACGCGTTAGGTTCTGAAATTTAAAAATATAAAACTTACTGGACTAAAACAGTTCTGATATCCATTCTGCAACCCTGGTTATACCAACTATGAATTTAATATAATAAATAATACAGTTGGATATTAAATAAATTATTATACACGGTTGTACTCGTATAGTAATCGCATCTTTTATCAATCCTTGACACGACACTCACATTATCTCGGAAAGTATTAACTTTCCTCGGAAACAAAGGAGCATTATTCAGAGGTTACAACGCTGTTATTCTCTCCCTACCAAACTTGAGAGTACATTATCCCGTCGATGAGTTGACGAAAATTAAAAATAGTAACACCAATATATTTACTCAAACTAAAACCTAATCTACTTATGGAGTTTTTCAATTATATCGTTTGTTGAAAATCAAAAATCGATAGTGGTTTCGCCCCAGACATAAGGTTGATAAATGATAACGTCCATGTGACATTTTAGAGCTGTTAATATTTTATGCGTTCACATAAAAAAATAAATACATTTTCTCAATAATTAAATTTCCTCCGAGATAATGAGTTTCTTACGTTTGTCAATCACCCTAACCCTATGTTATTAAATTATCGGCTAATTGAGAAAATTCAAAAAAAAAAAAAAAATAAAATAAAATAATTAAAGCCAAAAGAAAATAAAAATAAATATCGATAAAAAATATACAAATTCAAAAATTCATAATCACGATAAGATAATAAAGATGAATTTAATTATGAACGGGGCCTATTCTTACAATCCTGTTGTTGAAACAATTTTTAAAACATATTTTTTCTAATGTTCGGGTAAATTCCTGTAATATTTGTTTCCTGTACTGGAGGTTGAGAGAGTAATATTATAGATATCTACGGATAAAGACTGTACGAAAATGAATAAAACTTTCGAGTTTTAGAATTATAATTCCGATTTGAACACTCGAATATTTCCGATTTTTTATATAGCTAATTATATTGTGTGCCCACGTTGTGCTGCTGGTGAACAAAACGCAATCATTATGTTAATTTAAAAACTTTGAGACCCTATTATAGTATTACTAAAAAAAAAAAACCAACACACTTCAAGTTTATTTCGCATGGCAACGCGATACAACGGCTGCGGATTGCGGAGGAGACGGAGGATACTCAAAACACAGATGCGACAACAGAAACAGAAACATCATAATATCGTAAAATATTGTACAGAGATCTGCAAACTCGCAAACAACTAAATATTAATGCATAATATTATAATATTAATAACATCGTGTATTCCGGGTGTGAATATTAAATGTGTATATAGGAAAATGTACACTTTTCGTAAGCTAGGCACATAGTAATGTGTAATAATTCGTATATTTAACAAATACTTCATCTATGTGTGGAGATTTTACTATAAGTTGTTATTGGAAAACCAAAAGTAGGTTATGATTTTACTTACAAAAATAAGAATGACACAAAATTATCAAGCAAATTAATAAAATCATAAAATGGACAAAAATTTACCTATTTAATTAACTGACAACTGCATATTGTGTTTTTAGAAATGTGATTCAATACCGAACACGCATAATCAAATCGGAAAAAGACCGGGAAAAGTTCTGCGGTTTCACTGCAGCGTCCTGACGTTCGACGTTTGACGCGGCGTCCGACGTCCGGCACCGGTCCGGACCGGTGTCGCGTCAAAACGCCCAGCGTCAAAATATCAACAAATCACAAATGTTCGTTTTCCTCGAGAAAATATATTTGAAGTAGTAGGAACATCAAATATGTATTGAATACTGTTCAAAATTAAATTTGAAACCACGCGCAAAAGGGACAGCGGTCGCAGCGGGGTTATGGTTTAATTTTTTTTTTTTTTTTCTAATTAAACTAAAATAATAAAATAAAATAATAAAACCTACGGCGTTCGACACTGCGGAGAAAACAGAGTAAACGTCACGTCGAGATCACGTTCGCGGCGTTCGACAAAATAGCGACAGCGGCTGGACGCCGTGTCTGAACGCTGCAGGGAAACCGTGCCTAGCACAACATTACACAGACATCTCACAGACAGCGACGGTCGTCGCTTACAGATACGAATTATATTTCCCCTTTACTACCTCCCATTTTCTCACTTATAACAGTGGCTGCACGCGCCCCCGTCATTAGGATAGCTTTTTTTTTTTTTTTCATATATCATACTCATAAATCATAATATTATACTCTAATACTTTACACTATTTAATATTTATGTATCGCATAGAATTTTTTTTTTCTATAAAACGCAACAAGATTGAATTCAAAATATAATACCCGAAAAAACAGTTGCGGTGGCGTATATATTTTGCCAAGCAGGAAGTTATTGAATGTGAAAATTGTGTCAAATTATTGTATTATTATACATTAAACATATTTTCTCACTTATAACAGTGGCTGCACGCGCCCCCGTCATTAGGATAGCTTTTTTTTTTTTTTTTTTTCAGAAGAATATATTTTTGGTAAACATTTACCAAAAAGCGTTCGGCCATCACTGGTATAACGTATACCCAGACTAAAAATGTGTATCTCGAAGTTAATTGTAATATCTCCGGAGATAATACAATTTTGTATTATCATCTATATTATTTGAATGTTTTGGTGAAAAAAACAAAACAATAACATTTTGTTAATAAGTTATTAGTTAATAACTTATATTCTGATTTGTCAGAAAAAGTTTTTAACCAAAAGAAAAATAATTAATCGAAGTACAAATATTTGTAGCCCTTATCGAAAAATTGCCAGGAAATTAAAAAAAAAAAAATAATAATTTTCTCACTTATCAACTAAATCCAAAATTCAACAAATAAGGTCTTCGGTCGTTTTTCGATTTTTATCTCTATACACTCCCGTTGTTCTTGCCGCGTCTCTAGCGCTTTGGGAACGGAGGTTTACGTTTAAACGTATGTTTGGTGGCCACTTTATTAGAATAAATATTATATACAATATACGAGTGTTTTAACCCCTCAGCTCGGTACATGTTTTCCTACAGCTTCGCACTCGCATTATATTATGTAGGCACGTCATTCGTCGTTCGGGATAATTTAATAATGTCACCGATAGATTAACATATTGTATAATACCTGTGCGCGAGACGACGCGTTATCGTGCCATCGTAGAAGATTTGTTAGGCCGAGATCGTATCCCCGAAACCCGAGAGAACACACGAATAACTAACGAATTCTGTTTCGTAACCTGTCTATCTATTATAATGTAAATGCGTCGGGTATGGGTTTTTTATTATTTTTTTTTTACATAAAATAAAACGCGGTGTTCGTGTAATATTTATAGTTCAGTATAGTTAGCTCAGAGCGATCCATTTATGTGGCTACTACGCCGTTGTTTCACGAAAGTATTGCCTTTTAACGTCGAGCGCAGCCGCTTAAACGGGCCGTTCTGCATAACGAACGAAAATCCACTTTATAAACTCATTCCGGCGTGTTTAAATTATGTATACAACACGAATTATAAGAGACGCGTAAAAGTAAGTAATTAATGACGGTGTTGTTTTCGCGTGTAATATCATGGACGTCGAGCGGAGGCAATCTCATTTTCGTGTAACGTTCGAATTACCATAAGACAGATGAGAAAATGTGTACAAGTGTCACGGGATTACGCGAGAAATTCGGATAGCCGACGGGAGTTATATTAATGACGGCGGGTCCCGTAGCTCTGTGTTTTGAGGCCTCGCATACGGATATCCGAATTATCTAGATGAAAAAAATAATAATGAATCGTTAGCGGACATCAGTAGATTACGCTGCAGTCGCGCGGCCTGCGCGAGAGGAGTTCGGGGTACACGGTTATTTCGATTAATCGAGAGAGGGCCGTCTTATTATTATTATTTTTTTTTTTTTCATCAATAATTATAGAAGTACACCGCAGACGGCGTTCCATTAACTCCCATTACTACGTTTTCGTGTATTTTTCTTTTTCAAAGTCAAGAATTTAAAATTTAGTTCTATCATTAAATATCGTGCCGCTCAAATGGAGAACAAAAATTGTGTTCATCTCATTCACTTATTGCGCTAAATATCTGTGTACATTGTAAATAACGACGTTTCCGAATTCGATGTCTTCCTCCTTGGCGAAATCCTACATATACGAATTGCCACGTCGAAAAAAAATAAAATGTATAACAATAATTATCTCAACGGATCCTAACGTTAAATTTTTGGAATTTTTGAGAACGAACATATTTTATTTTTTTTTTTTTTTTCAATTTTCGATTTACTTTTTGATCACTGCACCAAGCCGCGGAAATAAAAAGTCATAATATTTTTTCTTTTTTTTTTACTAATACATTTCGTACATTTTTCGTTTTTCCGACATTTTATCCCGGTTTTTCTAGATATTATGAAAGCTGCATGAAAAACCAAAAAATGACCTACCTAAACTACCGTGGAAATAAAATTTCATTTCAGAAAATAAGCTACACTTTATACATCGAAGCAATAATTCTAGGTAGAAAAGTTTACACAACAAATCGAGGGGTATTTTGCGATTAAAATAGTCCGAGAGAGCGATGACTTGTGTCTCTGGGTATATTCAAAATGCATTTTTGTTTTTCCTTCTTTAAGTAAAATTAAAGGAGACAATTTTTATTCGACAAATTAGTTTGAACTTGGAACTCCTAGGATGATAATGGGCATAAATAACCATTAGATCACGACAGATATGTTTTGAGAAGGATAATATAAAGTTGTTTAACATGAAATATAATATCAGAAATCCAAAAAGCTATAATTTCAAAACTTAGTCAGTCTGATTAATTCTGACTTCACCGTCGTTCTTTAATCACCAATATACATGTAATCAAAAAAAAAAAAATACTACATTATATTCATTTTTTTTTTCGACTAAAAAGTAAAACTCCTTATGAATTTACTATTAATTTTCAAGCATTTTTGTTCAAGTCTAATAATTGTACCACAAAGTACCTACCAAATAAAAATTACGTACAAAGCTCGTAAAATTAAATTGTCTTTAAATAACTCAAAAATTGGTTTATTTGTTTAAATTTGTTTATTTGACCATATTAAGAAAAGGCAGAATTTCAAGTCTCTACGAATATTTATAACTGAATCGCATCAAATAACAAAGTAGACAAATAATTTTGCGTTTATTCAAATTCTGATTTTTGTTGTAACTTTGAAGTGAAGTTGAAGTCCGATATTTTCGAATATTTTAATTTTTCACGGCATTTAGGGAGTATCCTATGGTAATACAAACTTTTGTTTTCGAATGTGAACCTATATACAAATTACCATAAATAGATGGGTAACCCCTTTGATATTATTATTTACACACATAATTAATAAAAACCAAAATAACTTAACTTTGTTCCTAAAAACAATGATCGTGACCTCGACAAATTTGAAAAAAAAATATTGGGAAATATTCTATGAAACATTTAACGAGAAAAAGAACGTCTGGTAAAACAAATAAAATTCTGAAACACATAATATACGCATAAAAAATTCAAAAAATCATTTTTTCAAATTTGAGGTGCGAAATTAGAAATCCGGATCCCCGAATTCTCGGGTCCGAAATTCGTATTTTCGGATTTTTAGATAGTCCGGATTTATATCGTATACATTGGCACATTTGTATTTGTTTGGATCCAATCACACTGCTACTAATCATTGTTGTGGCGCACAATTCGCCGTAGTACTTATCGGGTGCATTGTTACAATAACAATTACGAACACGCAAAAGTGACCGTAAAAAAAAAAAAATCACCGAGTTCGGGCTTATAAATTATTCCGCGACAGGTAATACAATAATGTCCGGCCTAATGAACATTCAATCGAACATGGAAATCTGTTTCTGGGACAAAGTCGCGAATTATATTAATGGACCCCTGTGATGCGAGGCGCGCGCAACGACATTGGGGTGTGACACCGGCGGATACGGGTGCCTACAACAGTTTCAAATACAGATCGTATACACCTGAATTGTGTATCGATATTATTAGAACGCAAAACAGAGCGGTGCGCATTCCGAACCAAAGTATTGTCGGAGTGACGATCTCGCAAACGGATTCGACCGTAAAAAAAAAAAAAAACCCCAACGGATTAATTAATACGGATCGCCGGGACACGGGCGTCGTGCGGCCCGCACCTCGTCGCCTGGGCCACGAACGAGATGACGACGCGCCGTCGCGCGTCACCGTGGCGACGCGTCGTTCCGACGTTGGGCGGGAGCTCGCGCGGCCCGACCGTAAACGACGGGTGGCGGTAGTGCGTGTCGCCGCCTTTCGACGGCGGCGCGTGCGGTTGTTCAGCTCGGACCATCTCGCGGGAAACGGTTTGACGGAAACGCCACGCGTTAAATAGAACCGGGCTAAATTCGTTAAACGTTTTTAAAAACCCGGACACGTTTCGCGCCAATGACGGTCGGTGGCGGACGACCGCCATTGCGGGCGGGCGGGCGGGCGGGCGGGTTGCGACCTAAGGAGGCACATCGGAGTACAGACCAAGTACTGAATGCGATTTGGCCCGGTTGATTCCGACCGATACGAATATGTAGTTCTAGGCGGGGAATAACGTATGGCACGTTACACTTTCCCCTGCGTCGCATTTGACTCTTAAAAGGGCACCGACACGGGGGCCGTTGATATTTTGTGAACGACAATCGCATTAGTTTTGTTGGCATAAGTCACGTCGGCAATACGAATAAAATAAAATAAAAAAAAAAAAAAAAAACAAATTATAATAGACAGGCACACTCCGCACGTGGGTGGGTGGGCCACTGTCGTAGGTAAAAACTGGGAAGGGAGTAGAGGGGAAATTAAATGTCTGTCTGTAAGCAACGGTGAACAATTGCTAACGAAAAACGATTATGAGCGTAGTGTTGCTTTTTCAACAATATGTACGTCATATTATGATCAAATAATTAGATACATAGTATGTACACATGTTTTCTTTAATAATATTTGTTTAATATTTACCCGTTTTGTCCACGTTAACGAAACATGTCAACGAAATAGTTCGTTAATACCGAAATGTGTTTCGTGACCTAACGAGTCTATTTACAAAATTGTATTTTGCATACTTTGGCGTTTTAAGATTTTGTGCGATTTTAAAGCATAGTTAGAATATTTGGTACCAGTTGATGTGATTCATTTAAGTGGGCACACTTGCGTTCTTTAATCAAACATTTCCTCAATCTCTTTGTGTTTCTCAATACTAATATTCCCATAAAGTTTTCCGTCATACAATTATTTCTTTCATCTTGGAGGTTGGTTTTTCTATCGAGTTGCCTTTCTGTTTATTTAATATTATTGTATTTTTGATCGATCTCACTGTGTATATTATAATTGTTGAGCTCTCGTAGTTTCACTAAAAACTAATAAAAAACAAATGTTAAAAAAAAATTGTATTTTTATCTTGTTTTAACTTTTGATAACCAGTATAATCTCTACACTATACGTGGAACACGTGTATTTCTACCTCGCACGTGCAACTTGCCCGATCAGCATTTATTTATTTCACATTTGCGTCATCGTGGACGATCGTCATTACACTGACGATGATAATAATAATACTCTAATACTTTATACAAACTAAACAAAAATATTGGTAATACGCCGAGTACCTACGTATCTATAATAATTTTAGAACATATTTTATCGTTTAACGATTCACCGAGGTATGCATCGGATTATACGTATAGCGTATAGCTGAAACACAGATAAAAATTAATTTACCTGTACGACAAACATATCGATAAGTATAAGCGGGTATACTTCACAATATTCTGTCGTACATTATAATAAATTATAACCGCTAACTGGCTACGATTTCCGGTTAGTAAATTCGTTTTATCGCAGCGGTAAGCGAGATAATAGCGCATGCAGCGAAAAATACAACTGCAACCCTCCTCCGCCCAAAACTTAAAAGTTGAATACTTCGTAAACGGATTGACGAATGACGAATTGACTTCTGGAGCACCTGAGCGAAAAATGTCTACATTGACAACAATAAAAACATACTTAGATCCGCAATAACGGGAAAAAGACTAAATGGTCTGACAATGGCAAATATAAACAAAAAAAGAACATATCGAGGACGCAGATGTCATAGAAATGTTTACTCCAAACGCCCCAAGAAGGACGCAGTTAAAAAATCGGAGCCATAATAAAAAATTTTAAAAAAAAATGTTTTTCTTAAAGATAATTTGTTTCATTTGTTGAACAAATTAGTTTCCATGTTAAAAAAAAAATTTTACAAAAAGTGTGAATATCAACACAACCAATAGATTATTATTATTTTTTTTTTGTTGGACTAAGTGACTCCTATACAAATTTCTTGGCTACGCTACTGGTCCACAACATATTTTACCTATAAATTATTTTAAACAACTATTAAATTATAACACAACAATATAATCCGACTCCACATTTTTAAGTAGGATATTCAAATGGATTTTAACCATTTTCTATATTTTAAATTTTGTTAACTTTTACGTCAACTCTTTTCGTTTGAATTAGATTCGCATTACGTTAGACTACATTCGATTATAATTTACTATTCAATTTTATTCGACTATAATAAAGGTGAAAAAAATGAATACTTTTATTTATTAATTTTAGAATAATTTATATTCAGGCTAATAGGCTAATATTGACTACTAATATTAAACTACATTTTTATTTTTCATACTATAAAATACGTATAAATTAGACATCCGGAATTTCATCATTCGTGTCATTTAAAATATCTAAGGCTACCGTTGAGTCCGTAATCGAGTCATCCATACTATCAGACCAGTCCTGAAAATCAGCTTGTATTGAAAGAGTAGTCTCAGAATCATTACGGAGTGCACTATCGTAGTTCTCAGTATTAGCATCGTTCAATACTGCGTTGATATTGTTGTGTGCCATAAACTTCGCTCGTTCTGTCTTGTGATCAGTTATTTGGCATGGTATCACTTTTGCGAAAATTTGATGTTCGTTTTGGTCTGTGTCTTGAACATCTAAAGAGACGAATAATTTAGCTTCTTTTAACTTTGTTAAATTAATTGATTGCTGAGAGTTCTTGGTTGGTCCGGAATCATTATTATTGTTTTCCCCTTCTCCAGTTAATTGGAATTCCTGGAATGTAGAAAGAAATTACTTATAAATAAGTATAATTAAAAGAAATAATATTTTATTTTACATAATTTATTAATTTAACTATAAATTTAAACTTAAACATTAATGTATCATAAATGTATAACAGTTTTTCTGCCAGAAAGCTTACTCTGAAGTAAACGATGTAAACCCTTTTCTGAGATCGAAATTTTCTCGGAATAATACTTTAAGGGCGTACTTTTTCGGTTTTCTCAGAAATTTCCAAATCAAATGTGAAAAAACAGAAAAAACGGGAAAATATAGGAATTCTATTTGTAAAATATTACGATTTTTTTTTTCTACCAGCAATTTTGCTCCGATTTACAATTATAGCACTTTTCTCAAAGAAAGTCTAACTATAGAGGTATTTTAGAAAGACCATTTCTCTATTTTCCCAGGCATTTCTCAACAAATGTGAAAAACGGGAAAAAACTTAAGAAAAACGAGAAAATCGATATAATATTAAACAAATATTAAAAGAACAAATATATGATGCCTATTCAATTGTATTATTTGTCATATATATTGTTAATAAAGCATCACTATTAACTGAACTCCGCTCAGAATCTTTTTTTTCGTTAAAGAAAAGGTTTATCGTTGTTTACAGATATACATTAAATTCCAGTCTGTATCCTACCTTTCCAACTTCCTACCTACAAAAGTGGCTGCATCCGTCCCAATTACCTTATTTTAAATTAAATTTTAGATTAAGTCAGTGCAATGTATCGGATGTAAATTTTGATTTTAAAAGAAATTTCATAATAATTAATTTACAACCAAAATAAACACGGCTTACTTCGTAATTTTGTAATCCATTATGTGATTCAAGTGTTAAGAATACTTTAGCTTCTTTTACACATACGGCTGATTTGTAGTCTGTATTTTTTAGTGATGTAGTAGGAAAGGATTGCTGAGAGTTCCTAATTGATCCGGAGTCATTTTCATTGTCCTCCCCTTCTCCAGTTAATTGGAATTCCTTGAATGTAGATAGAAATTACTTATAATTAAGTATAAATAAATAAAATTATATTAATTTTTTATTTAATTTAATAATTAACTATAAATTAAAACTTAAACTTTAATGTACCGTAAAATAATGTTTTAAGTTACACGTAAGTAAGTAAGTAGTAACATAAAAAAAAAAATCCAGTCGAACAAGCTAATGTGCTTTTTTTCGGAAATCATTTTATGATTAAAGATTCTAAGCGGAGTAAAAAATATATTGGTTTTAGAAAGATTGGTATTTTCTACTTATGAAAAGAGTCTTGCACACTATCTACGCTTGCAGCTTTGCCTCCACTTTCTCCATGCCGATGTCATTCATATTTTCGGATTTTTCCGCATATACGGTTTCTTTAGTTTTATATTTGTGGTTTTTTGAAGTATAATTGAAATGGAATTTTGTGAGACTTTGGAAGTTTTCCATGAGGTTTGCACTGCTCCCAGTTTTCTTAGGAGAGATTAACTTTCTTTACTCAAGTGAATGAAGTTCATCTCATTCATTGATTTTAGATATGTATTTTTTTTTTTTATGTAAACACTTTTTCTGCCAGCAAGCTTATTCTGATGTAAACGTTACAAACCCCTTTCTGAAACGAAATTTTTTCGAAGTAATACTTTAAGGACGTAATTTTTCGATTTTCTCAGAAGTTTTCAAATCAAATGTGAAAAACCAAAAAATAAACAGAAAAACGGGAAAATGTAGTAATTGTTTTTGTAAAATATTACGTTTTTTTTTTCTGTGCACCACTTTTCTATTAGCAATTTTGCTCCAATTTGCAATAATAGCACTTTTTTTAAAAGAAAATCTAACTACAGAGGTATTTTAGAAAAACTATCTCTTTATTTTCCCAGACATTTTTCAACAAATGTGAAAAACCGGGAAAAACTTAAGAAAAACGAGAAAATCGATACAATATTAAACGAGCAAATATAAGATGCCATTTAATTATGTTATTTGTCGTATATATTGTTAATAAAGCGTCACTATCAACTGAACTCCGCTCAGAATCTTTTTTTTCGTTAGAGCAATGATTTATCGTTGTTTACAGATATACATTAAATTCCAGTCTGTATTCTACCTTTCCAACTTCCTATCTACAAAAGTGGCTGCATCCGTCAACATAACTTTTTTTTTTAAATTAAATTTTAGAATTAGTCAGTGCAATTTATCGGATGTAAATTTTGATTTCAAATGAAATTTCATAATAATTAATTTACAATCAAAAAAGAACACGGCCTACTTTGAACACTTGTAATCCATTATGTGATTCAAGTGTCAAGAATACTTTAGCTTCTTTTACACATATGGCTGGTTTGTCGTCTGTATTTTTAAGTGATGTAGTAGGAAATGATTGCTGATAGTTCTTAATTGATCCGGAGTCATTATAATAGTTCTCACATTCTCCAGTTGAATTGAATTCCTGGTATGTAAAAAGAAATTACTTTTTAATAATCACAAATAAATAAAATAATAATTTTTAGATTCTAAATGTATTGAATATGTATTGGATTTACTAAGATGTTTATTTTATTTTTTATTTTTTTTTTTTATATGTATACATTTTTTTATTTTTTATACTGTGTAGAAAAATTCTACCAGAAATATTTGTCCGTTATATACACGGGGAACTATTTCTGAACGGAAATATTGTTACGAAACATTTGAGCTATTTTTGTGCTATTTATAAACATTTTAATTTGTTCGAGTTTTGTTCGTAATTTTTTATTCGATAGGTACTCTGCGGTTAAATTGTTAGACCCTACAAAAATGCGTAAAAATTTAACAGGAGGTTCATTAAGAGTCTTATTTTGTGGTAAAAAAAAAAAAGAATAATAATAAGTTTTATGCAGTATTTTTTATTTTTTATTGAGGAATTTGAATATTAAATTTTGAATAAAAAAGTTTGAGTAAAAAAATGATGTGGAACAAATATAATTTTGAATGTTTATTTCTCGAACATATGGATTTTTTAAACTTAAAAACGACGGTGAAGTAAGAATTGAGCTGACTTAGTTTCGAAATTATTGCGTTTCGAAGTTTTGATATTATGTGGATATTATCGTATCGTATCTGCATCATATCGGAAATTCTCGAACATTTCGATACCGTTATTTCCGTATATGGAAATAAAAAAAATAACTTCCTCTTTTTTCGGCCACTCGGGGATAATAGACTTATAGCATCCACGGATCCTTTTGAATTTAATGAAATTAATATAATTAATTAAAATATTTTGATTTTGAATTTTATAATATAAAACCATGGCTGATTATTTGCTAAATTTACTTATTTAACAAAATATAACTTTTGAAGGAATTTACCATACCCCGAAATTACCCACCCATCCCCGTACCAAATTAATAAGTGAAGCAAGTACCCCCCATGCCTTCCTAGTTGTGTGCTTCGGTACTGGTAGCCAAAAACGTTCTAGGAGAAAATAATAATTATTATAATAATTTCTATATTTATCGCACATTTTTTCGTGTGCGAGTACAAATGCACAACAATTTATAAAAACACAATAAACTGTACTAAATTATAAAACAATATTAATAGTAGTTTTCTATTATGTAAAAGCGCTTTTTTGTTTAAAATACAACTACGTAACAGATTTAAAATAATTTAATTTTGTTTGTTTCTTTTTTTGTTTCTTTCTGGCATGCAGCGCTTAATTTGCCATAAACGAACCAACCCCCCTCACCCTCAATATATTCGATTTTGCGACGAAAATAATTGGTTGTGAATTTCAAAAACACGGTTGCAAATAGTTGGCAAATCAGTTGGAAAATAATGACACAATTTTTAAACTAATATGTTATTATGAAGGGGCTGACTTCACTCACATACGGACAAATTTAAATTAGTAACGGTTTCATTATTATAGTTTTTTTACCCAAAAGCCTAACTCCAAATTTCAAGAGTAGTATCTTTTCTGAAATAAAATTATGTCTGGTTGGTGAGTAAGAAAGTAGGTTTTTGATTTTCCGTTTAATCGAAAAAAATCGGTAAAAAACGAAGCAATTGCAGAACATTTTGAGGAAATGAATTATTTCAATTTTAATTTATGTGTTCGGTTAAAAATAATTTTACCAATCAAAAAACGCTCGTATATTTTACAGGCCAGAGTTTCAGTAAAATAATAATTGAAATACAAATTAGTTGACATGCTTGAAAAAAATAATAAATGATAGAATAAAAGCTAGTGATCTACGTGGAATGGGCACATAGTGTACTCGAGCGTACTCACCCATCCAAGTATTACTTACCATTCTCAACGTTGCTTAGCATTAGAGATAGGACGATCATTCATCATAATCTGGATTACAACGATCGATCCATTATAATTTTATCTAAGCATTTAATATGTGCATTTATTATCCCTTTTTTAATTCGGTCTTTGGACAATTTGTTGACCAGGAATCTTTTTCCAAATTTCAAGAGTGACTCGTCTTATTCCGTGAGAAAATTGTTGACAAACTTTGTGCATTAGAAGGTCGTATTCAGACTTTACGTGCAATCTTCTTAGTAATTTAGTTCTTCTTTAGTTCTTCTTTGGTTCTTTAGTACTAATCTTAGTACTAATTCGTAGTAAGTAAAAAAAAAATACGATCAGAATCGTTTTCTCTTAAACAATGGTTTATCGTTGTTTACAAGTGTATATTAAATTATCTGTAACAATGGATGCATCCGTCCCCGTTATCCTATGACGTCTTTTTTACTCTTTATAACAGTAGTATTTTGATGACGTTAGTAGTAAATACACTCTCCTCCATGTATTTCGGCTCCTAGGCAAATATTGCACGATTGACGCAATAATTTCTGGAAGGAATTCAAAAAAATTTACTCTATGCAAAATATGATTGAACATAAAACTCAATCGACAATATTATAATGTACTTACCTATATGTACTCGTGTTATATATTTTGATTTTAAACCGAAAAAGTTTGAAAAAGAAGTTAAAAATTAACATTCAGTACTTACCGGCATCGGCGTGGCAACGCGGTACACACCCTGCGAGTCATGTTTCCAATTCTTAAATTTGAAATGTAATAAAATCACAATAATAAACAAAAACTGAACAAGTGTAATAATAATAATATTCTCCGCATGTGACAGTGTGATACTATACGTGTTATCACATATTGTTATCACTATTTTGATTACAAAAACAAAATCAAAGTATAATATGACGCGAGAAAAACTCGATCTAATACTCATGATAATTGTGAAACAAAGATTTTGTAACTGAAGTTAAATACCTATAGTAAAGTCATCGAAGAATTAAAAGTGTAAACACGTTTAAAACAATTATACAATATAAAGCATAATTAAATTACTTTAAAGTAATTCGTTTTTTTTTTCTCTAAAATTTTGGGAATATTATGATGATGGGTTTGGGTGTGAATCAAATATTTGTGTCTTCTGCAAATTATACCTGTCCCTTACGCCTTAATATCTATCGATAATTTATCTAGGTAACCTTAACTTAATTCCCTAATATTCAGTGATGAGAAAACCGAAATAAAGACCAAAGGCAAGTCTTGGTTTTGGTCTCGTTCTTTCAGGCGCAATATTGGTTTTAGGTTTGGTTACAGTCGTTCGTCTTGATCTTGTCTTAGTTTTTCTGCAAGACCTATTCAATAGGCTTGCTTTATTTTCTAAAGTGCATAAACAAATTAAACAAAAATCTATTATAATGCTAAGGTTGTATGCAATATTTTTATGATTCCAAAGGTATAAGTTTTCACGTGTAACATAATGTACAAGTATAATACATATGTGAATAAAACGTTAAGAATTCCAATGATTGAATTTTTTTTTTCGAAAATTTTGTTCACGTTAAATTTATATCACTTTACTTATTATATTCTTTTTTTTATTAATTTATTAACCAGCACAATACAATTTGTAAGTTCCTACTATGTTTATAATAAATACTGATAAATACCACAGCTAATAATAGATAATTGTAATTTCTATACATGTTGTTTTTAACTAATTGAATAATAATTATTTTTTTTTATTTCATAAAAAATATTAAGTTATTAATAACTTAAAAATTTAATAATAATTATTAAATTTTGTATAAAATCAACGTGCATCTGGAATATATATTGCAATTTTCGGAGCTAATTGAATTATGGATTGTACGTACTTAAAAAAAAAATTCCAAAATTAAAAATATATCTTTCTTGTTTTTTTTTTTTTTAGAAACCTAGTTGCACGTTATAGGGTATGATAGAATTTTAAAGTTCAGTATCTCCTTGGCTCCTTGGCATCAAACCTAAATACGCCGCTGATTAAGGAAGACTGTTATTAGAACGCGGTCGGAATTACGTCGGATGTTAACAACCACTATTCACCGTAACCACTCGAGTACAAACAATATAAATTGTATAATCCTTACAGATTTTTGATACACAAACAAACGTATTATTATTACAGAGTAGGATTTCGCGATTACAATTTTATATTTCCCGCAACGATGAAACGGTGTTCCGAATGACAATATTATTACTATATTATTATTGTAATATTATGTAAAAGGGAAGAAACGTAAAACGGACGGGGGAGGGGGGGGAGTTGAACGAACAAAGTAATGCAATTACCGGAACAAATAGAACGAAATATACGCGAGAGATCTTGCGGTAGGTACTCGACGCGAAACATAATATTAATATCTACCCCCGACACAGGCGACACCGCAGAGGGGAAATTTCGAAAGTAATAAGTATCCCCCGGTAGTTGCGAGAAGTTCCGTTTGACAGTAACTTGTTGCTAAATTGTCCGGAGGAAACAGAATTCAATAAGTTAAACAAACTGAAAATGAACAAATAACGGAATTATTATACTGGAAATACAATATTATTGTTATTGGCTTTGGAGGGCCGTATACACAATACCCATTTGTTGTTTCCGTCTTCTATAGAACATTTCCTCTCAAGGCGGATCTGCATTGTTAGTTTTAACTTATTTACATTTTCAGTGTCCTGATACTATTCTTTTAGCGCTATTTATAAGAACACATTTAACTACAACACACTTGAATTTCGAACGGTGCATTCTACATTTGTTACTGTACACTTTGGACTCTAATACACATTATTTTAGGCACTGTTAAGTGAGTGAAAACTGTGGAATGTGGTTGGTATTGAACATGCTATTCACCACGTCTAATATTCGAAATTAATCTAATTTAAACTAAATATTAATCGCAGTGTCTATTATTCTTATCTTAAATACGAATTCATCATTATATTTATTTAAATATGAATTTATTAAATACGAATTCGAAATATTCAAATATTAGACATTTAAAGTAATAATATAAGACAGTGTTTCTTAATCAGGGGAGGTCTTGACCTCTTTGGGGATCACCAACTGATTATTTAGAATTGCCAAAACCAGTTATTGTTTG